CGGCTGGAGCAGGCGGGAACGCGGTGGGCGTCCCCCGGCCTCGTTAATTAATAACGAGCGCTGGCCCCGAGCCAGGCCACGAGATAAAGCGGGGAAGGAAGAGCTGGACCTTGCTGGGGCTGAACGGGAAATCTGCAGCCGAGTGATTTATTGGGTGTTTTCTCCCGGATTCTCGGCGTTTCTCTCAAGCACTTGGAATAAAAAAGGATTGAGGATGTGCTTGTTCGGAGGCCTGGGAAAGTTCGGAGCTCTCCTCCACAAAATGGAGGAAAAAAGAGGCTTTTTCTCCCCGTTTCCTTGTCCCGTTCCGGAGCTGAAGGTGCCATTGGAGTTACCCGGGGCCAATTCCCAAAGCTGGACGGTGACGTCCTGTGGACGCCACGACCGAGCTCGCCCCGGCGCGTGTTTTTGGTTGAAGGGCATAAAAAAGAAACCAGCACAAGCTGATGATTTTGCGGAGCGGTTTCTCTTCTGCCCCGAAGATTGTTCCCATCGGAATTCCTGGCATTGCCTGCCCTGCGTTCCCTTTGTTTCCCCGGCTGCCATGGAAATGTCCCCCTTTCCCCCCGGTCCTCTCCACGCGCCGACTCCGCCGTCATCCCCGCCGGCCTTTGCAGCGGCTCCGCTGCCCATCAGGCCCTTTTCGGAGCTAATTAGATTAATTAACCCAGCGCGAGCGCTCCCCTGAGTTAATTGTCTCCTGGGTTGGCACATTCAGTCGGCTCCTGGAGGAGGAAGAGGAGGGGAACCTGCGCACCAAAGGGTTTTCCAGATGGGTTTTGTATGGATTTGTGTTCTGCCGGATGAGGGAAGTGAACGGGCCCTCAATTTCCCTCCGATGGGAGGAAAATGTTGGGATTTGGGCTCGGATGGAGGTGCCGGGAGCATCCCTTGCAGCAACACCCACGATGTTGGAAGAGCCCTGGTTTAAACCAGGAGTTTTGGCCAGACTGGATCCCCTAGAAATCCATCAGGAGCCAGCCCATGGCTGCAGGATCGTTACCACCAGCACCTTGTGGAGGCTGCACACATTTTTGCTTCTCTTTTCTTGGAGAAGCTGTTTTCCTGGAGAAGCTGTTTTCCTGGATGCTTTTCCTTCCCCAGCATCCATCCGCTCTGCGGTTTGGGAGTATTTTCCTAAAGTACGGAAATGGCAGCGTGGAGCAGGGACGTGGGGGCCCAGGACCCCAATGTCACCAAGAAGTTACCGCTTTAGTTGGCTCCTACAAATCCATGGTGATGGGGTGACATTTTAAGGCAAAAATGTGACATTTTAAGGCAAAAAAATGCCCAATTTGGATTCTCTGCAGCTCGGGAAAGCAGCTCACGCCTGCTCGGAGGGGAGGGCCGGGGGCCCAAGCGATGCCTTCCAGCTGCAGCTTGTAGGGCTGAGATATTTTAAGTATATTGGCTTAATGAAAACGATTGTGAGCTTTGCTGGGGCAGATTGACGATTAATTTTTTTTTTCCCCTTTGCAGGGCCATAAAAATTCCATTTCTGCTGTGCAAAGTTTTAACCTCTTCCTTGCCCTGCAGCTTGTTTCTGAGGACGTTAAGCGGGGATTATTTCAACTCAGGGCTCCCCTGAACTGTTAAGGGATTTGGGGAGGGACGGGCATGTGCCATTTGGGCTGTTCTTTGGACTGTGCTTAGCAGCTTGCTCATAGTGACCCATTTATGCGTCTAAGCTGTGTGTCCGCGTGTTCCGTAGGATACGCACGCTTCTGTCCTGCCCGGGGCTGGAAAAATAGGCAAAAAGAGTGAGCAAAGTGGAGTGAGCTACGAGGAAAGGCCAGGGCTCTGTTTGCTGTTGCATGAAGGAGGTGGCCGAGCTGCACGGTCAGAGCAGGTTGAGTTGCCCACAATGCTGCAGGAGAAGCTGGACGTGAGCACCAGCCATGGGCTGAGTCATGGGGATGCTCTTGAACATCCCCCTTCATCTCCTTGCAGCCGCGTGGGGCTCTCCAGGTGCCCACGCGTGCATCGACATCCCTGCCAGGGCAGGGTTTGGTTTTCCCGTGTTGTGTCCCGTGTCGTGTCCCGTGTTGTGTCCCGTGTCGTGTCTCCATCACGGGATCTCACGAGCGGGACGAGGCTCCCCGTGCAGCAGCAGGCGCGTGATGCCGAGTGTGAATCAGAGCTGCTTTCATCTGGTGCCTTTTGGGACCTGCCCATGGTGCCCGGCCTGCTTTTAAATACAACATCAAGCGGAGGGCTGGGCGCGCGCTGGGTTTTGTTTGGGAAGAGGCCCTTTTCTTCCTTAATGAGGCTCTTTGAAGTTTGCTGGCACACGGTGGCAGATTGGGAGCGATCCCGAAGCTCGTGCTCTGCGTGGCACCCGGGCCCGGATCCCTTTGACCATGTGGGAGGGCTTCCCAGGACATCCTGCTTCGGATTCCCCATCGCCCTTTCCCCCCTGGCCTTCTAGCGGTCTTTTGGGGCATTTTGCTCGCTTTTTGTAGGGTTGCTTTCTCAGTTAGAGCTTTTGGAGCCTCCTTTGCCCGTATCTCGAGTCAGAAGTGGGGTGGAGAGCAGCTCTTGGCTGCTGTACCTATGCCCCATCCATAAATTGCATGGAAGTCACCTTCATGGAGTGCCCACCCACGGCTGATTGTGTCCCCCTGGCAGAAGCCTGCCTTCTTTTCAGCAGATGTATCATTTTTTGTCCAAATACAGCCCAGATCCTGGAGACTGGCATGGCAGCATTGATGGGGGCACTTCTTGGGCTGCCCTTCTCCTCCCACTTGGGTTTTGCTCTTCTGGGGACATTCATTTGCAGTAAATTGTGGTGAATACCCAGTGAATACTGTGTGTTCAGCTAGACAGGGCTTTATTTGGGTTGGGTTTGTGTTGATCCCATCAGCTGGGTTCACAGTTTCTGCAAACGCTTCAGAAGTCCTATAAAGAGGTTCTGAAACTTTCCGTCCCCAAGTTCCTTGGAGTTTCTGTTCTCAGTGGAGATCTTGGTATGTCCTACTACGACTCGTCAGCTTATTTAGTCTTATTCAAAATTAAATTTGAATCTTCTTCCCCCGCTAAAACATGGTGTTCCCATAACTGGTGCTTTGCAAGGCGTCCTGATGGACTTTGGGAAGAGTTGAGCCCAGTGGGCAGTGTTGGATGGTGATGGGTACAACAAACTCATCCCACAATTGTGGACAAAGTCATGGCAAGCCGTGTTGCTCCTCTACCTCCTTGTCATCCAGGGACAGACAGTGCCTTAGGGATGGCAGCAAACACGTAGATTATTGATCAGAGAGAAGCAAGGATGACAAATCTTTACATTTCCTGGTTCATTTTGTTGCTAGCAGTGAGTAGCATTGGGATGGACTTGGTTTAAGGGACTCCCAGCCCTCCAGGAGGGTGGTGGGGTCAGATTTGGGTGAGCTGGGGTTAACTTGTGGCTTTAGCACCCAAATCCCATGGATGCAGCCTCTCAGCAAATGTTCTCATGTGACTGCGCAGGATGGGGCTTCCTTAGAATAATTTTCTTAGTTGAACAGGAACTTGTGCTTCCACCCCAAGGTTGGACAGTGAACTTGGAGCAGCCTCTGCTTGTGCATGGAGAGACCCAGGTGGATGCAGCAGTTTGGGACTAACGAGGAATTGTGGCCGGAGAGCAGCTGGGAGGTCTGCTTGGGCTGTGAACAAGTTAGGAGCAGATCTTAAATTCACTTCAGTTTTGTGGGCATGCAGGAGCTGCAGATGTGGAAGACAAATCTCTTTTGGTGCAAAACCAAAATGAGACAGGTATTAGCATCAGTGCAGAGGGGTTTCCTACCACTGAGGCAGGGAGGGCACTGGCTGCCCCCCCAGGCTTGCTAGCACGCTATGGCACACAGGGTGTTTGCCACAGAGCTGCTGTTTTCCTTGCAGCACCAGGATCATTCTTGACTGTGTGGCAGGAAAGCTGCCTGTGGAGGATGTGACGGGACACAAGAACCCCGCTGGAGTCGGACCGTGACCCTTTCAGTTTGGATGTGCAATTGTCTCCCTGAACGGTCACAACCCTGCTAGCCCCTGGGACAGGAACATACAAAACCTGCAGCATTTGTGGTGATGAGAAGTGGGAAATGATGATGATAAAGTTGGAGGATTCTCCTGGTTGGTGGAGCTGTGGATGCTGCAAGTTCCCGTGCTCCATCTCGAGGCACCAGAGATACCCCAGCGAGCTCGAAAAGGGCTCCCAGTTGTCCATATCCCTCCCTGAATGTTGTTCCTGGAAAGCAAAGCCCCTTCTTGTTGTTCTTGAGGAGGATCCGAGGTTTTACATGAGAACATGGGCAGTTTGCAGAAAACACTCCCTCGGTGGCATGAAGCATCTTCTCAGATTGTGTGTTTCCTGCGGGAATATCTGAGTCCCCATCTAAGGACTGTACACAGCAGAGATACTGTCGGCTCTTCTATGTGAGCAGATCCCCTGCATTTCAGCTCTGCGGGTGGCTTCCTTTAAAAATCAGGGTGTAGACAAAGTCACTTCTGTCTTCAGTTGCCTGTTGGGTTGATGAACTGTTAGCTGCTCCTGCAGGTTATCACAGCGGGCTCTGCATATCTCCATCAGCGTGAGCAGCACAACAGGGTGATGCTAGTCCCTTCCTTTGAGGCCATGTGTCTTCTTGTGTTGAAGTAGTAATGTGGGTGCTGATGGACCAGCCCAGCTGCCCCATGGATGATGTGTGCGACACGCAACAGCCCTGCATGCCCTTGGTGTTCAGAGCTGGTCACCTTGGGCATGGGATCAGCTAGTCCCTAGGGGACCCAGTGCCCTTGGGGTGATTGTCCCCATGCAAGCACAAGGGTGGACTTGAGATCCCCAGCAGTTGGGTGACTGGATGGTCATTGGCCTTGCTTTGACTTTCTTGATGATATCTGCCATAAATGTTTGAGTGGAAGTTTGGTTCATGTGTGATTCGAGGTGGTGGGTGGCAGTACTTGTGTTTTCACATTGCTTGTGCATCCAGTTCTCCATGCCCTGACCACGTCTCTGCTTTTCCCCCCAGATGCCAGCACGTCACCCGATGCCATTAAAAGGAGCCATTGGTGCAACGTGGCCTACTGGGAGCACCGGACTCGCGTTGGCCGCCTCTACACGGTGTACGAACAGTCTGTCAGTATATTTTACGACCTACCTCAAGGAAACGGCTTCTGCCTCGGACAGCTAAACCTGGAAAACAGGAGCGAGACTGTGAGAAGGACTCGAAGTAAAATCGGCTACGGGATTTTACTGAGCAAAGAGCCGGATGGCGTGTGGGCCTACAACCGCAGCGAGCACCCCATCTTCGTCAACTCCCCAACACTGGACATCCCCAACTGCAGGACTTTGATCGTGCGCAAGGTCATGCCCGGCTATTCCATCAAGGTGTTCGACTACGAGAAGTCCTGTCTCCTGCAGCACGCCACCGAGCTGGACTACGCGGACGGGCCCTACGACCCCAACAGCGTGCGCATCAGCTTCGCCAAGGGCTGGGGGCCC